ACAGAGAGGAAGAGAGAGAGATAGAGAGTTAGAAACATTGATGAGAGAGAAACATCAATCAGCTGCCTTCTGCACACCTCCTACTGGGATGTGCCCGCAACCAAGGTACATGCCCTTGACTGGAATCAAACCTGGGACCTTTCAGTCCGCAGGCTGATGCTCTATCCACTGAGCCAAACTGGTTAGGGCTACAATATTATTTCTGACCCCCTCTTTGTTTTAATGTTATCCTCCCAAGAGATAGATGTAGTTCCTCCTATCACAGATCCATATTTCTATTCTGTCCACTATGGAATGGGCCACCTGCCTTCTCCTTAATAAGAGAGGGTAGTTTCTTGCCAAGACTTTCACAAGAACACGTTACTGGCGTGTTCCCTCTAGTTGGAGGAAGAACCAGGAAAAATATGGGTTCTCTTAGAATACAAGGAGATTACAAAGGCTACCTGGACTAGGCCTCCCCCGCCACCCCCCACCCCATGTAAGATCCCTTCTTGCCCAGACCCTGTGTGTCCCCCAGCCATACATGAATAAGCCGATTCAGCCACCTGCTTGGCTGGCTCTGCAACAAGGGTCTTCTCCCAGTGGCTTCCACTAGGGTCACTCCTGATTGTGCAACTTGTGCCCTGCACAACCCTAGGAGCCACCATTCACCTTATCGGGGAGTTATATAGTTATCACAACTTGCCAGCAGAAGGCAGACACATTTCCTAAAGGCGGGGTACCTTTCTCTAATTTGCCCCAAATCCTGGAAATGGCTAGGCAGAGCTGGCTTCACTAAGCTGCCTTACTCATTGCTGTATCTCCTTCATTTTATTATTCTCAATACACAGCGTATGTCCAGCAATCATGTTTGCAGAAAGGGATTTAGTTCTGTTTCTTGGAGTCAAGCACAATGAACTGAATCCTCTTCTAAGATGACAGGACTTTACATCTTTGAGGGCAGAAACCAAGATCCCAGTGAGATTTTTCCTCAAGAAAAATCCTTGGTTGCACACGAGGTTTCTTTTTCTTTTTTCTTTTTTGTTGTTAATCCTCACTCGAGGGTATTTTTTGATTTTTAAAGAGAGCAGGAAGGAGGGGAAGAGATAGAAACATCGATGTGAGACACATCAATTGGTTGCCTCCCGAGTGCGCCCAACCACAGTGGGGTATCAAGCCGGCAGCTGGTACATGCCCTTGGCGGAACTGAACCCAGGCCCTTTCAGTCTGGGGGCCGATGCTATCCACTAAGCCAGACTGGCTGGGGCTGCTTTTGCTTTTATCATCCTGCAGTTAGCCTGTCTTTCTAAATGTGGAATCCAGAACCAAATGCACATGGTTATATATAACCTTAGGGTCAGCCAAGCACCTCCTTCGTTTAAGAATCTGAAATGGAGGACTTCTGAGACTTGAAGGCATGGTGGTAACTCCTGGCAAAGGAGATGGGTAGTTTGGGGCAAGAAAGGCCTCTTAAACCTGTGCAGCAATTGTCATCATTCTAGGGCATATTTGATTCCTCACAGGATTTGGGATTGCGGAAGGAATTGCATCAGCTGAAGAAGGATCGGGGCAGGGGAAAGAATTAAGCAAGGATTGGGGCAATTTGAGAGAATTACAAAGACCATGTGAAATTCTGTCCATAGCATCTGGGACTAAAATGGGCCCAGGGTCTGGGTCCTCAATTTTCACAAAACCTGATTTCAAGGTTACATGTTTTAGGGACTAATGGGATGGAGCCAGTGTGTTTCACCTTAAAAAGGGAGACTTTAGTGGGGGATCTGGAGGTAAGTGAATACTTGGAAGAGAAGAGGTGGAGGCCCATGGGGGAAATAATAATAGCTACTATTTTGGAACATTTATGATAGGCACCGTTGTAGGTGCTTTACATTAATGCCTAGAATAACTACAGTATACCCATTTTGCAGACGAGAAAACTAAGACACAGCAAGAAAGTAGTCAATAATTAAAAAAATATATTTTTATTGATTTTTTACAGAGAGGAAAGGAGAGAGATAGAGAGCTAGAAACGTCAACGAGAGAGAAACATCGACCAGCTGCCTCTTGCACACTCCCTACCGGGGATGTGCCCGCAACCAAGGTACATGCCTCTGACCGGAATCGAACCCGGGACCTTTCAGTCTGCAGACCGATGCTCTACCACTGAGCCAAACCGGTTTCGGCAGTAGTCAAGAATTTGATCCTAAACTGGCTCTAATGCCTGTGTGTGTAGCCAGGGGTGATGGATGTATGGAGGGAGAATAACTTGAGTTCATAAAGAACAAGTGACGAGGAAGTGGTGAAAAGAACTTGGGTTGCTGGAGTCAGACACATCTGGTTTAAAAATCTAGCTCTGCCAGTCCTTAGTTTCCACATCTGTAAAATGGGGCAACTATCTTCACAAAGTTGAAGTGGAGGAAGAGAGAAGTTGAAGGATGGAGTAAATCAAACTGACAAGGTTTCAAAGAAATGGTCAAATATAATATTTGAAATATAAGGAAGAAATATGTGTTATGGGGTCGAACCCTGGAGTCAAAATAAGACCACTGGAGGCTGCTAACTGATTAAAAAAAAAAAAAAAAAAAAAAGGTAAAGGTTTATTGAACTGGCCAGGACGGCTGAGAGAGCACCCACACGCAGATGGAGTCCACACTCACAACGGCGCCGTCCCAGGTGCAGGCAGTCCTTTTAAAGGTCTAAACCACAAAAATTTTCCTTTGTTCTAAATTCTTAATTCCAAAGGCTGGGAACAGTCCGCAGGGTCTTTCCCAGTCACATCCTGCTGGACGTTGGAATGTGGACCTATCTTGAGAAAGCAATTTTTACAGCAGAATCAGAGTTAGTAATCTCTAAAAATCTACAGTTTCTACTCCTGGAGCTACTGAGTCAGTGGGTCTCAATCTCCTGTGGTCCTGGTCCACAGGCACAGGAAAACCGCCTTAGCCTCCAGGTCTCAATCTGGAAGCTGAGGTAACTACCCTATTGTTTAAGCAAGTGAGTGAGTGCAGAAGCCAGAATAGCAGGGTTAAAATTCAAACAGCAGTTTTTACCTAAGTATGGTTGCTACCATACTTCATAAGGAAGAATGAAGAAAAAATACTGTCAAGAACACAGGTGACCATTTAAATGGTTAAGAAAACAGCCGTTACAGAGGTTTGAAGAGGGAGGATATCAACAGGGAAGAGATGAAAACAGTGGTTATGGTCCAATTGGTAGAGGAATTTGGTGGCTCAAAGGAAGGAACAAGGTCAAACAAGATACTTAAAATTTGGTTTTGCTTCTTAAAGCTACAGGTTTGTGCTCATTTAAACACAGAACAGATTTGAAGGGTGAGGAGGAGCCTGGTGGAGGCACCAGAGAATGCAGCAAGGCAAGGAGCTGGGGTGGGGTGGGGGTGGGGGGCAGTGTGGGCAGGAAATTCCAGAAAGTGAAGCACATCTGATGGCCTGAGGCCCTTGGGAAAGAATACTGAAGTGTACCTGCTGAGAAAGGGGGAGGCGAAGGCATGGGAGTTGGGGGAGCAGGAGAGAAAGCCAGACTGTGAATCCCAGGCTGAGGCAGGGATCATCATAAGGACCAAGGTGGCCATTCTGTGTTTTCTCCCACAGCTTCCTGTACCTGAGGCACAGGAGGGGGGAAGTGGAGGAAGGTGTCCAGGGTTTGAACTGGACTAGACAGAGTGAAAGACTGCGAAGTCTTGGTAGGTAAACCTTGACCTATGGCTCCTGGGACTCTTGTCTGCCCTGGGGGGACTGTAAGACTCTGGTCCTGTTGACATCCAGGCCTTTAAACTTGGGACCAGAATCTCTCACGGGGCCCCTTGCCCACAGCAGGGACCACATTCAGTAATGTACTTGCTGTCCCCGTCCCTCACTCTGCCCTCTGGAACCACGTTTAAAATAAACCTCTGGCACAGAAGCCCTCATCTCGGGTTCTGCTCTGGAGGATGTGGGCTGAGGTAGACAGGATAGGGTGAAGTTCACCTGAACCAGGATTTGGTTGCGAAGATAACTGCATAAAAATAGTTTCTTCATGTGTGCCACTTTTATTAAAAAAAAAAAAAAAAATCACACTATTTTATTTCAATGTATTACATAACAACAGAACAAGGTTATGAGGTTAGAGGTCAGTTTAGGCCTAAACTCGGATTACATGCAGTACTCACCATTAGGACTTCCAGGCCACAAATTATTTTAATGGTTCCATCTAATGAGAAAATTATTTGGGGGTGGGGGATGATTACAAAGTTCCTTTGTTCCATGGCTTTTCATCCTGTCACCCTTTCCAAGGAGCTGCCTAGCCAGAGCTCTAAGGTGGTATTTCATACGGAGTTCTTGTGCAATTACTTAAAACATTTCCATTTGGGTTGTTTGTGGATCGCAGTTCCAGTTAACTATAAAATTGTTAATGCAACCAAGGATTGAAAAAAAAAAAATACCACAGACATGGTTACCTAGAGATGACAATTTATTGTTTTACCACGACCCAGGAGAGAAACAACATGAAGAGAATATTTATTACAAATCCCCAGTTTCCGCCTAAACCGGTTTGGCTCAGTGGTAGAGCGTTGGTTTGCGGACTGAAGGGTCCCAGGTTCGATTCGGTCAAGGGCATGTGCATTGGTTGCGGGCACATCCCCGGTGGGGGGGTGTGTGCAGGAGGCAGCTGGTCGATGTTTCTCTCTCATTGATGTTTCTAGCTCTCTGTCTCTCTCCCTTCCTCTCTGTAAAAAAAATCAATAAAATATATTAAAAAAACAAAACCAAAAAACAAACCCCCCGTTTCCTTCCCAAACCTCACTACTCTAATTTGTCAGACACTCCTGGCCTCCCAAAATGGACCATTGGCTATAAATGTGTGTACAGTTTACTTGGCTCCCATTTCACGATTGAAACTTCAGTAAGTTAGTGTTTAAATTATTTTCAATGGAGGAGTTCCCTAACTTAAAAAACACACAAACCAACAATTTTTCCATTCACTGAAAGAAGCCTTTCTATAGAGGTTGAGGATTTTAAAAGAACAAATTCAATTTAAAAATAATTTACTGAACACCCACCAAGCAACTGGCCTCTTCAGAGACGAGTGGAAAGGCCAGGTTTTAACAGCGATAACTTAATTCTGCAGGTATACAAAGACAAGCTCTTCCTTTTGTCTAATTTAATCTGAGAAACCAAGAATTGACAAAACAGAAAAGGTTTGTTCTGTCCAGCCTTTAGATAAACAAGACAATGCCTGAGTTAGCGCTCTCCACAGACCTGGGCTTATCATATTGAGCTGGTTGTAATAATCTATATTTAACTAAAAGTTAATAAAAATACATGTTCATTTTAAAATAATTGATTTTGCTTGCATATCCTATCCCTTACCCCCTAAAAGTTATATTTTTAAAACAAGATTTTCCTGCATACTCATAGTCCACTTTCTCCCGCCCCACCCCCTCATATATGTGTTTTCCTGTAAGAACCCCTATTTGCAGAAGCACCTTTAAGTCTAACATGCTTTGTTCTTGCCAGGGCAGACTAAAACCATAAACTGTCAACCAGCTGGGGTGAGGTGACCTCAACAGGTCCTCACGGTTCTCTTTCTCCCTCCATCAGGCTGCCTCGCTCCTGTCCTCGGCCGGGAGTGCGGGCTGTTACAGCCCTTCCCAGCACACCTGACCTGGTCAGAAAACTAATGACAGCAGCTGCCTGGTCCCTTTCCCGGAGCAAAGGAACTTAACCCCTAAATCTGAGACTGCAATGAAATCCAAGTTTTAAAACCACCTTTCAATCACTCACCGATCTCATTCTTTATATCTTAAAACATTCATTCTCACGGCTTAATGACTGCTTACAGAAGGGAGGAAATACAATTTTAAGACCAATTAACTTTGCTGATTACTATGCAATTTGAAGTGAGTCATGATTTAATAAAAGGTGAGAATCTTAAGAGATTTAAAAAAATTGTTAAAAGAACAGAGGACCATTGTTTAGAAGTCAAGTTAGTACCCACTCTTTACTTTCCACTGTTTTAGGATAAGAGAAAAACATGAGGTTTAGTGTGTCCACTATGAAATAGAACCAGACAATCTGAAACAAACTTCTCACGTTATGACAGTCTATACTATGAGATATTAAAAGTTTGTTTGACTTGGAGATGGCTGACCTCCCTATCACTTCAAGTTTGTTTTGCAAAGCTTTGACAAGTAAAACAGTTTCATTTTCAGATATAATAAAAAATTTGAATAGCAAAATAACTGCTTTTAAATGTAATGTGTCCATTCTAAATCTAAGAAAACTTTTCAAATGCTTTTTATTAAATTCTCCAGTAGTAGTTGAAAGAAATCTACTTTTATGAAAGATCTATTTATACCACTCATCCCTTTTTCCGATTCCACATTTCACTTTGCAACCTGCACACCTTCCTTTGGTTTCCCAGATGGGGAGCCCAAGCCCCCTATTTTTTGAGAAGTTGCTCAGAGTGGGACGCACAAAAATATGGCTCCTCTGGCAAGCACTGCTGTCACTGTTGGACTACGTTTTAACAGTCACTCCACTTCGCACAGTAAACCTCTCACAAGGATGGTAGGAGGAACGAACCTGGTTAACTAGCTTTGGATGAGCACATCAGCATGATCAAACTCTAGAATAAAAGGTGATCAATTCTAGGATAAAAATGAGAAGTTCTTTCACAGCTATAAATCTTCGCAAGCCCTCTCTCCTATCACCATAAACCAGGGGAAAGCAAGCAGGAGCAGGGGTAAGTGCAGCCAACAGGAAGACTGCAAAATGCTTATCAGAAAGACTTCCTGCAATGCCAGGACCTGGGCACCTCTGTCACTATTTTCCAGGAAAGAGCCCATCTTGGTGTTTCCTGGCAACACCAAATCTAAGCATAACCATTTAAGTTAGTGGGGAAGCAGGGCTAAAAAGTCAACTGGCCTTTCTAATCCTTTCCCTACTCTTAATTCATGGAGGTGATCCTCTTACTATCCGACAAGCTCAGAAAACCATTCTCTTTGCTTAAAATGGTGACGTGGCAGTCAAGAGGTCAACTTCCTGGCTTTACTCTCAGGAAGGAAGCTGCATGTTTATAGGAATTATTCCTTTTTAGTGCCCCATTAACCTGTCTCTCTTTATGTTTTTTATTGATTTCAGAGAGGAATGGAGAGGGAGATAAACATTGATGAGAGATATATCAATCAGTTGTCTCCTGGATGCACCCTACTGGGGATTGAGTCCACAACCTGGGCATGTGCCCTGACCAGGAATTGAACCGGTGACCTCTTGGTGAATGGGATGACACTCAACCAACTGAACCACACTGGCCTGGCTAACCTGTCTCTCTTATCAAATCTACTAACTTCCTCTTCTGATTTGATAAATCACCAAACTATGAAGATTTTTTCTCATATTCCCCCTCCTCAGTTCTGTGAATTGATTTTTTTTGTCTGTAATCACATCAACTTCTTTACTACTCGCTCCAAAACTCTGCTTTTTTTTGAAGTGATGTGTTCTGTCAAATAGATTAAATAAAATACATCATTTGCCTACAGAGAATATACAGAATAGCAACAGGGGTTGAAGGTACAAAACACAGACACTGACATTAAGGTCATATAAAATATATAGGAGTACCCAACATTGACAATTTTTGTAAGAAGTTGTACATTTTGCTATTTCCCCACATTTTTTTCTTCTGTGGATCCTCTGGAGTTAAGATTGAGTGTTCTCTGCAGTGTTTCTAAAATTCATTACAACTGGAACACACTGATGGAATTCATTTTCTGTCCAAAGCAACGAGTGCTATACATGAAAGATTTCCTCTTATAAAATATTAATAAAGTTTATTTACAGTGTAAGCTTTTCTGATGCTAAGGGCTGAAATGTGATTATAGGCTTTGCCATATTATCACATTCAAAAGGTGTCCTTCTGGAATGAATTCTCTGATGTACGTAAGATGAATTGTCTCACATAACAAACATATTAACCTCTCTGTACATATTTAGCGTAGTTTCACTTTTAAGCCTTTAATAAAATACTAAGTGCATTCAACAAGATGCCTCACACATCTCTGTTCTCAGGCTTTTGCCTTGCCTGCCAGGCCGGAGTAGAAACAAATACTCCACAACTTGAAGAACTTTACTTCTTTTCCTGGCCAAGTTATTGTTTTAAGAAGCCCTTCAAAAGCTTCCATTAGGTCAACTTACATGCTACTGTTCAAACTATTAACAGGCTTCACCCAGTCAAGAACTTTGAATGACTATCCTGAACACTTATTAGATGTTGTAAGCCTTTTTGACCATAAGCCAATTATAATTTGCTTTCAGCAGCTGATAAATGCAATGCAAATGGTTTTAATCAATAGCTGTAGCCTGTTTTCTTAGGAAACATCTTCAAGTAGCTGCTTCAAGGAGTGCATCTGCTGAAGATCTGAAGCAACTGCAGTGGCTATCCCACATAGTACAATGTCCCAGAAAAATGGGAATTAAATGTGGGGGCACAGGTTATTTTAACTTTCATTAAAAAAAAAAAAGAAAAAAAGAAAAAGATGGCTGAGCTATGTCAGCATGTAGTTCTGGCTTAAAAAAAGCCAATGAAGAACCAACCGAAGTTTTTTTCTTCTTAAGAGTAGTCAGTGCTTTGATCAGTATCTGAAGGTAAGCAGCTCACTGCTTTCAGTTGCTTCCCAGCAGCAAGTCTTTGCTCAAAAGCACCAGCGGCTTTCTATGCAGCTATCACTGTGGTTCATTGTGAAGAAAATTCTAGAAGCATTTCTTCTACTTTCACTTTACTATAAAATGTTCCTTAGGTATATGTTTCTGGAGTATCTTTTCTATTTTTCTTAAATTGAATGGATGGAAACATTCTGATCACCTGCTGACTTCTTTGAAGTTTCCCAGGCAACACTGATGAAACTGCTTAGAAACTATAGAGAAACTGTGGTTGGTCCAAGTTACAGAGAGGTGGAAGAATTACTGCTACGCAGATTTTAATTTGGTCTGGAGCTGAGGCCATAGCTGCCCCCACCTCATTGGCTCCCCATAAAGCCATGCTGCCTCATGGACTCGAGTTGCTGATTAGCAAGATGATGAGTCTTAGTTGTTTCTTGATGGAAAATCTCAGTCTCTATTGGGGGGTCTCCTGTCATGAGAATAGTCTTCAGGTGTATTCTTATTCTGGTGTTATAAGTTTCTGCAGAGCTGTCTACAATCTTTTGCATGCTCTCATGAGCATCATCTCTACCTGAGTCCCTGATGACTACCTATGTAGCCCCCATACTTGGGTTTCTTGTATGTGTATCTGAAAAGTCTCTGGCACTGGCTTCCAGGCAGCCAGTTGCATCTTCTTACCAGATGATAGAAAAGATCTAAATTTTATAACCCACCTCAGTCTTTAGTGATGAGAAAGAGAAAAGACACTGTGTAGTACAACTCTGATAACAACCAACCAAAGCTTAGCAAGTTGGGTGAACTTCTCAGAGCAACTAACACATTCAGTAATGGCCAGCTAATGATATCAAGTGCTTTTGTGAAGTTTCTGAAAAGGATGGGAGAAAATGCTTCCTACATCTTCCTTTTTCTGAAAAGCAACAAGAAATACATAGTCTGAACTATTAAAGTTACAAATTATTCAGAAAGTGCCCAAATCATCAGGTTGTTCACCAGCTGACTAAACAAAATTCTGGCGAGATCTTTGTCATAAAAAGATGTCAAAAACATGGCCTTAGTAAGTTTTTGTCTTTTTCTTAAGATGAGATAGTGGAGTCATTTCTGACATTCTATGGAATTTACTCACTGATCCATGTTTAGAAAGCCTCTGCAGGTGGCTATATGGTGCCGTTCTTTAGTTTAGGACAGAAATAGTGTAAGACCCTGGAGCTTTAGCATGCCTCAGGCCCTGCATGTCCTCTTCAAAAGCTGGGCCAGGCTACTGTATTTCAGGTACTCAGGATTCACAGGGCTTCCTCAGAAGTGCAAAAGTCCTGTGAGAAGTCAGGCATAATGAGTGCTTCTTCCGTGTTCAGCACTGTGCCCAGTGCTGTAAGGATATAAATATGTCCCTTGTCAAAGCATCTTTTTTTTTTGGGGGGGGGGGGTTGGGGAGGAGGTGGTGATTAAAAATTTCATACATGAAACAATGAAGGATTACAAGACGGTATATAATCAAGTGCTAACTTGCGGAGAAATGCATTTCAGAGTGTGATTAGTGCTTTAGGGATTTCTTCCAGAGGGAGAGAAGTATTTTGAATCATGGTTGCCATTTCAGTAGAATTTATCTCGGCGATGAGGATAAAACCATCTACATTTGTGGCAGTCCTTTGGAACTGGAAACTGGTGCACATACCCGCTCTTTCAGGAGAGATAGAAATCTTTGGTTTGATACTGATCAGCACAGTCCTAGATTTCTATAGCTTTGGTAGGCTACCAGTGTTCACATATATCTTATATATATAACTAGTTCAAGCAGCATGTCCCAATGTAGTTTTTGTTCTAACTATCCCTCTCTTTTTGAGAAATAAGGTACAGCATGATGTTGGCCAACCAGGGCTTGTTTGCAGCAAGCAGCTTTTAGCCTAAGTGTCATTTTCAGAGAGCCGATTTTAATCTTTCAATTCTGTGTATTAGTTGCTGAGTGTCCAATAGCGCCTTACAGGTATCCTCATTGCTGAAAGGCATAGCGTTTTGCTGTGTGTGCTTCTATCTCATAAGGAAATATCATGTGGGTTATTCGTATGACTAGCTTTTCCCTACAGGAGCTGTATGGAAGAATTATATGCCCACAGACTATGCAAAGGTAGAACACTGCTAATCTAACTATAAGGATCCTTAAAAACTGTGTGTGTGTGTGTGTGTGTGTGTGCGCGCGTGTTTAAGTCTTTTGAGGATGTTTATTCCCTTCCATGAGCACACATCTCTGAAATAAATTTAGAAACAAAAGGGGGAAATGGCTTGTCAGCAAATTCTCACTTTACACACAGCTTTTCAGGAATGCTCCAAGGGCATCGAGAGAAGCCTGGCTGTACTCAGAGTTTCGCTCCCGGGCATGGATTCTGTGATGCAGGGTGAGGGTGGAGCTCCGGGTGAAGGCCTTGCCACACTTAGTGCACTTATAGGGCTTTTCTCGGGTGTGAATTCGCCGATGCAAAATAAGGTATGAGTTTCGGTTGAAAGCTTTTCCACATTCGCTACATTCATAGGGTTTCTCCCCTGTGTGGATTCTCTGATGCTTTGTAAGGTCTGAGCTCTGGCTGAAGGCCTTCCCACACTCGTTACATTCATAAGGTTTCTCTCCAGAGTGAATTCGCTGATGCAGAATGAGATTTGAACTATGACTGAAGGCTTTGCCACACTCATTACATTCATGAGGTTTCTCTCCCGTGTGGATTCTCTGATGCAGGACAAGGTTTGAGTTCAGACTGAAGGCTTTCCCACACTCACTGCATTCATAGGGCTTTTCTCCGGTGTGGATGATTTTATGGCGAATAAGGCTTGAACTCCTTGTGAAGCATTTACCACATTCATCACATCTATGAGACTTCGCTCCTGTCGGAACTTCTTCAGTGGTGTTAAAGTTTGAACTCAGACTGAAGCTTCTTCCCAATCCTTTACCCTTCTCCCTGGGTCCTCTCTCTCCTGCGGTTGTTTTTTTGTCCTTAGCTGTAGCTGGCCCTGAATCTTTCTTTTCTTTTCCAGCTTTCTCCTCAGGAGTCTTCTGCTGCCTTTCTGCTATTTTGCCCTGCTGTTCACGTTTTTCTCCAAAATCTTTCTGGATTCTTCCTCTTGTCTCCCCACGTGATGCTGAGTCTTTTGTGATTTCAGTCTTGGAGGTCGACTCCTCATTCTCATTCCTGCTTTCACAACCTGACACAATAAATAGAAAATACAAATAACACCTTTTTCTTTTTAATCTATAGGTTAATCAAATGACAGTTTTCCAGGAAGCTCCTACATACCTGCAAAATGGCCCCACAATATTAATCAAAGATAAAACAGAAGAAAAAATATAGGAAACAGGGAGCAGAATTGGGAAACAAAAGGGCTGGAAGAGTGGAAAGGACACCAGAGGGAGTGTATAGAGAGGATGGGAGTGAACAGATCTACTGGGGAATGAACAGAGGGACAGAACCAGTGAAGGAGGGAAGGGATGAAGAATATAGAACATAAGCTGAAACCGATATGGCTCGGTGGATAGAGCATCAGCCTGAGGACTGAAAGGTCCCAGATTCAATTCCAGTCAAGGGCATGTACATTGGATGCGGGCACATCTCCGGTAGGGGATGTGCAAGAGGCAGCTGATCGATGATTCTCTCTCATCGATGTTTCTAAGTCTCTTTCTCTCTCTCTTTCTCTCTGTAAAAAATCAATAAAATATATTATATATATATATATTAAAAAAAAAAAGAATATAGAACATAAGACATTAATAATTCATAGTTCTATTATTTGGTCTCCTAATAATTAATTTGAAGAAACAAATATACATGAAAAAAAAATCACATTCTGTTTTCTAATATAACAATTTATGAGCTTAAAAAGAGCATGGTCAGGTCTTTCCTAGAAAATAAGTGGTATTAGCAGAAATAAAGGAATATCATTAATAAAGGAAAGAGCCCTGACCGGTTTGGCTCAATGGATAGAGCGTTGGTCTGTGGACTGAAGGGTCCCAGGTTCGATTCCGGTCAAGGGCATGTACCTTGGTTGTGGGTACATCCCCAGTACAGGGTGTGCAGGAGGAAGCTGATGGATGTTTCTCTCTCGTTCATGTTTCTAACTCTCTATCGCTCTCCCTTCTTCTCTGTAAAAATCAATAAAATATATTAAAAAAATATATAAAGGAAAGTGAAAACATCTCCATTCTGTGAATTTTTTTTTTTTTTTTTTTTTTTAATCAGCAAGGAGATGGTTAATGGCAAAACAAGGAACTCTGAATTTGGCAGGTTACAAGGACCTTCAGACACAGCAAAGTTTCTCTCCTTCAGCAAGAACAGCATAGAGCTGACAGAGATGAAGGTGAAGAAGTTGGTCAGGGCATTGGTAAACATAATTAAAACCTTCACTGAGAGAGAATAGAAAAGAAAATGAAAATAATTCTAGAGATACCCATGAAGGAAACGCCAGAGACAATAAAATTTTATTAACGCAAGGCTGATCCTCTCAATTTAGCAATCATCACATTAAGACACTGGAATATTTTTATTGTAGACTGCTATATTCACTTTAAGTAGAGATTAAAAATTGCTCAATAAAAATATATTTTATATATGTTTATATATTTCCCAACTCTATTTTTTTTTGGCCTTAAGAAACTTGTCCAAGAAGATCTGTACTATCCCAGACAGGCCCTTGAATGCAACTCCTGAGAGAGATGAATAACATTTAACCCTTTACTTTAGTGAAGAAATTGCCATAAATACTAAACCAATCATAAAAATGAAGAAATTGACTACTTCTTTTGAATTCCAAGCCAAGGTCCTCGACTATCTGAATTGAACCCAATAAAAAAAATATAAAAAAAGGTAATACCCATCTTAAAAGCATGGACCAGGGTTCTTTGCCTTAATTTTCATCTAATCCAAAGAATAAGTACCAAGAAACCATAAGCCCATTTCCCCTGATGGTTCAAAGCAAAAGTTTAGGTTTCATAGTGACATCCTTTCTTTATGAAGCTTCCCTTCGTTTGCCCTCCCCGCCTGGGGTAAAGCTTCACGGTGGACTTCCTATGACAGGACTGATTTGAGAGCACCTCTGCGGTCCTATTTCTCAGGGGCTGACATCTAGCAGAGACAAATGGGAATGTATGTCCACTGTGCCGCTTTATCTTATACGATTGATGCTTTAGAACTTCTTTGTCTTTACTATACACTAGGAGTGGAGAACGTCCAACCCATGGGCCATCAAAGGCCTTGAAAATCCTTTGGTCTGGCCCTGCCAGGGCATTAGGAGTGAGTCAATGAAATGTTTGATCAAATATAGCAAGCTAATGTTTAAGTTGATAATTTTGTATGGCCTGCAAATGATGTTATAAACATTCAAATTGCCCTTGGCAGAAAAAACAGTCCGTCCCCCCCCCCACCCCCCCGGCTGTATACCTAGCGACCAGAGCTCTTCATATATTACTATTAGGTTTGGAAACTGGGGACTGTGATCAAAAGGGAGATATAAATGTAAGTTCACAGAATTATGCAAAGCTGTCACAGAGCATGACTCACAGGATGAAGAAGACAGAAAGCCCACAGAAGGATGCTTGCTTGGTAGGTTTAGGAACATGGTCTCAAGTTAGGATTAGAACCAATGATCAATTCTCACTTGGCCCTCTACACTAGGAAATACAGATGCTCCCCCATAGAGGCACCTAAATTGTACCACGGGGGAGTGGAGCAAAATCCTCCCCGGTAACAAAGTGGTGGAAGAAGTGAGGACCCAGAACACAAGAATATTTCTGATTTCTAACAGCGAAAACAACATAGAGGTAAAACAAACAAACAAAACAAATAAATAAAATCTACTTGTAACCAGGGAGTCAGTCACAGTACCAGGCTTTGGAGTTAAAGGAACACAAATGTTCCTATCTCTACCTGGTCTGAAGAAATGGGCTCAGTAGGCTCTAAATCCTTGTTAACACTCAATTGAACGTGTCAGAGATCCCACAACTAACAAAGAGAGGCAAAACAATCTTATCAGACAATAATCCTGATCATTCTTACCCTGGGAAAACACGTTCCCATAATTCTCCTGCCTGTGGTCCCTATTGAGATTCCTCCGAGCCAGGTTCTGGCATCCCCATTCCTCCAGGATGAGGGACACAGCCATGTCCTCGATCTTCACCATTGCCTGAAATATGAGATCCCCACACTCAGTTCGCCCAAAGCTCAGGGATAATCCCACTACCCAAACCTGGAGTTAGGGACAGAGTTGACTACAAACCTACAGGACACTGGGAAAGAAAAGGTGACCATCCCAGGCTCTGGTGGACTGAGGGGTGAGTGGGTCTACTCTGTGGGCAGGACATCAGAATTGAGTGTCCTGAGTGGAGATGTTATAAGATCTCCAGGAAGAGAAGCAGCTATGAGGGTCTCAGAGGAGGGCAGAGGGGCCCCTGGCTCACCTGGGAGTCTGCCGTGAATAGTGCAGAAGCCATTGTTTGGTCTCTGGGACTCCCCTCGTGATGAGGGGCAGGAACGTGGGTGGCAGGGAGAGCTGAGGGAGGAAAAAGGAGCTATGAGTAAAACCAGCTCTGCTCTGGGCCCAGGGCTCTCTTTTTCCTGCACCAGCATGTTCAATGTTCAACTACAGAATAGAGAATTAAAAAAGAAAAAGCATGACTTCTGTTTTCTCAAGACTTCTATTCTTTTAAAAAAATATATATATTTTATTGATTTTTTTACAGAGAGGAAGAGAGAGGGATAGAGAATTAGAAATATCAACAAGAGAGAATCATTGATCAGCTGCCTCTTGCACACTCCCTGCTGGGATGTGCCCGCAACCAAGGTACATGCCCTTGACCGGAACTGAACCTGGGACCTTTCAGTCCGCAGGCCGACGCTCTATCCACTGAGCCAAACCGGTTTTCGCAAAGACTTCTATTCTTAAACAGGATAAGGAGTAAATGTAAAAGGATCTTTAAAATAACCTGGTCCAACCCTCTGTTTTAAAGAAAGGGAAATTGAGGCCTTGAGAGGTCAGATAAATTGTCTAAAGTCACACAATTAAGAATGTCAGAGCCAGATCTAGAATCCAGGCTCCTACTCTCAGCTACAGAACTGAATAGCGCTTAGCCCACAATTCAAGCCTAGCTCAGAATTTCATTTTCTCCACCAGCCAGCATAGCTCAGTGGTTGAGTTTCAACTTATGAACCTGGAGGTCATGATTTGATTTCCGGTCAGGGCACATGTCTGAGTTTCGGGCTTGGTCCCCAGTGTGGGTGTGTAGGAGGCAACTGATCAACAATTCTCTCTCATCACTGATGTTTCTTTTTTTAAAATATATTTTTATTAAATTCAGAGAGGAAGGGAAAGGGGGAGAGAGATAAAAACATCAACGATGAAAGAGAATCATTGATTGGCTGCCTCCTGCACATCCCACACTGGAGATGGAGCCTGCAACCCAGGCAACTGCAATATTAAAATCCTCCTTTGCCAAGTAATATTAGAGAAATGAATTTCAAACTGATTGTTTTCAGGCAGTACAATAATAAAATGAGCTAAATCAAAATGTATAACAGATTGAATAACCAGCACTGTAGCCTTCCAGGAGCTCCTCTGGAAGATGAGGAGCACAAAGAGGAAATTGAGAATAAATGCACATGCCTCTATTTGTTAAATTACTATTTACTAAGTAACAACTGTATGTACCAGGGTCTCTAACACTGTTACTCTGGTAGCCTGAAGTTCTGATTTGGTACTTAAAATCATGAAAACCTCCTTCAATTTCCTGATTTCACCCCTTGTATAGTGTGGAGACTTTATATACCTAGAAGGTCATAGGTGGACAGTGGTGGGTTAAACATCACAGTGTATTGGTTTATACGGATTTCTCCAGCATATGAATGCTGGATACCCTCCAGAATGCATAGAAAAGACTTATTTAAGCTCTAATAATTAAAATAATTTTTATTTATATGACCCTGAAATGATGCTTTTCCTCATGTTCCTCCACTAAAAATAACTTTTTTTCATCTTTTCCTATTGTTTGAAAATTCTGAAAGTAACCTAGAAAGAGTAATGTATACAATATTTTATACACTTTTCAAATAAGATGAATTTTTAAATTGATTCTGTATAAAGTAATTTATAATGTACTACAGTGTTTCAAAATCAGGCTGAAAGCATATCATCTCTTCCCAGCACTTTCTGGTAAAAAATAAAATAAAAATCTGTTAGATTTCAGAATGCTAATAATTCAAGAAACAATATCTACCCAAGTTCATTATGCACATTTCATCTACTTCCCTAGTAATATTACTTAACTCTTAGAATTGGTCTATAAATTGTACTTCCCCTAATATTTAGTAATGACAATAATCTACACTAATAAAAGAGAAACATGCAAATTAACCACCACTCCACCACACCCACAAGCTATGCTCATCAGCCAATCAGGAGTAAATATGCAAATCAACCCAACCAAGATGGCGGCCGGCCACAGAGCTGGAGCAAGCAGGAGGTTTAGGTTGCCCACGGTGATGGAGGAAGCCAAGCTTCCCACCTGCCCTGGCCTCTGCGCAAGACTACAAAGTTTCAATTATAGAAGATAAATAAATCTTAGATACTTGCTTCCAGCCGGTCCTGGCCTCCACTCAAGGAGGCACTGGGAAAAAAAAAAAAAAAAGAAAAGAAAAGAAATAAAAAAAGGAGGGGCTGGGACCTTGGGTCGCTGGGGGTGGGGGAGTAGGGTGATCAGGCCAGGATGGGACAGCAGGGGCCATTGGGGGTAAGCAGACCAGCAGGGGGGCCATTTGGGAGTGAGCAGGCCATCAGCAGAGGTCAGCTGGAGGTGATCAGGACAGTGGGGGGACAGTTTGGAGTGAGCAGGTAAGCAGTGGGGGAGTTGAGGGTGAGCAGGCCAGCAGCGGGGGGTGGTGGTGGGGGGCAGGCAGAGAGGTTAGGGGCAATGAGGGCAGGCAGGTGAGCAGCTGGAGCCAGCAGTCCCAGATTGGAGAGAGTGTAGGCCAGGCTGAGGAACACCCCCCACCCCATGCACGAATTTCGTGCAGGGCCACTGGTGTATAATAATAAAAACAAACATGCTTCTTTATTACAGGCACTTAGTAACACAGAGGGGGCACACCCATCTGAACAGTTTGCTTCTTTTCCCCATAAGAAGCCTTGTTTCTTACCCCGTGACTGTAAGAGGCGGGGTTTCCGAGATGAATGCTTGAAATGGGACTGGGTAGCCTCATGATGAAGGTCAAAGCTTGAGGACTCCTGAATAGGATCCAGAGGCACCATTCCCCTTGCGAGCATCTCAGGTCCATGCACTTGACCTGGGACCTGAGAACAAACAGATTAGACTTGAGGGTAAATCATTTTTTAATGAGTATTTTAAATGAGCAAAAAGAATATAAGTATACTAGGAAGAAAGGGAGAAAAGGCCAGGATACTTTTTAATATTCAAGCAAAAAAGGGAGAATAACCACTACAGACTACTAAACTAGCTTATTTAGTAGCTTGTATATTAGTTTATTTTATATACATTACATTATATATATATATATATATATTATATAAGTAGTGTCTTATATATTAATACTAGTCTAATACTAAGACTACTAATATTAGCTTAATATTAGTAATAATTAATAATAATAGTAACTTTCTCTTTGCTCCAGTCTAAAGTCCATGTGTTGCTCACACATAAGTTTCACCTCTTCTCACCTGCTGTCCTGATAAATCAAGCTCCAAATCTTCCAGAAGGGTCACAGCCTCCTCCCCACTATCGGGACGGTACTCCTGCAGCCAGGCTTGAAGCTGCTTGGGCAGGATGGAAAGGAACTGCTCCAGCACCAGCAGCTCCAGAATCTGCTCCTTGGTGTTTATCTCTGGTCGCAGCCACTGATGACAAAGTTCCTTCAGTCGACTCAGAGCCTCTCGAGGCCCAAAAGTGTTCTGGTAGCAGAAGTGCCTGAAACGTTGGCGGAAGATCTCTGGGTCAGGAGGAGGAGTCTCCTGCAGGCTGGAGTCCCGCCCCCACATATGTTCTTCCTCATCTTCCTCTTCTACCTTCACTATTACGATGCCATCCTTCTCTTGGGCAGCCTGGGGGGACAGACCAGTAGCTTCCCTTGATTCAGCAGTCATCATTCAGGCTCAGAGAACTGACTTGATCCAAATAAAGTCTGTCCTCTTCTTTTTGTCCTTGAAAATGTCCTGATATCTGTTTCCGTATAATTCCTGAAGTATTAAAAAAAGTGATCAGCATCTTTATGAAAAGTGACCTGTGCTACCAACACTTCATTCAAGACACCAAGACACCAAGAATGCCTCTGAATAGTAAAAGGGGGAAGGGGAGAAAGCCTCCAGAGCCACTCTGTTGTGACCACCATTTTATACATTAAGATTTGCCTCCAATGGGCAAATTCCACTCTCCGGGTATTTGCCTGAGTCTAAGCACCTTATCTCCAAGCAGGTTATGACATCATGCCTTTACAGTGGTTATGACATCATGCCTTTACAGTGGTTAACCCAGTGAGAGCTGAATGTCAGCAGGGTGCAGGCAAGAGACTTCAAGCAGTACACACATAATCTTTTTTCATTTTTGTTGACTTCAGAGAGGGAGAGATAGATAGAAACATCAAGGATGAGAGAGAATTATTGATTGGCTGCCTCCTGCACGCCCCATACTGGGGATCAAGCCCGAAACCCAGGCATGCACCCTGACCAGGAATCGAACCGTGACCTCCTGGTTCTGATGCTAAACCACTGAGCCACATTGGCTGGGCCACACATAATCTTATATCATCCCACAGCAATCCTACCAGGTAGGCACAACTGCTAGTACCATTTTATAGATGACATGGCTCAGATTTAGATAATTATTTGCTCAGCAGTAGCTAACTACCTAGTGGAGTCAATAGTCACACCAAGTCTGAAGCCCCATCCAATTGTTTCTATTGTTTTTGAGGGTACTGTGTGGTCAGAGTGGGAGCCTCCTTCCCCCAACACAAAGGGCTGCTAAGGTGCCCTCATTTATTTGTTCTCTTTTAGGTATTGTAATTTTTCCCAGTTTACTTGACATCAGTTTGTAGAACAATGGATTATTTTATCTAGCTTAAGAGACAAGCATGGGGACTTGCGAAGTGTGTGAAGGGGTCAAATGGTACAAAGTTCTGGTTATAAATTAAAGAACCAGTACTGGGGGTGTAATGTACAGCATGGTGACTACAGTTAGTAATACTGTATTGCATATTTGAAAGTTGCTGAGAGTAGATCTTAAAAATCCTCATTATAATAAAATTTTTTTTTTTAACTATGGTGAACAGATATTAACTAGACTTACTGTGGTGATCATTTCACAATAAACACTAATTTAAAGTTTTTATGTTGTTCATTTGAAGCTAATATAACGTTATATGTCAATTATATCTCAAAAAGAGAAACAAGCAGCTTCAAAGGTTCTTACAAAGAAACTACAATTATGAGAAATACTAATGATACAAACACACATAAACAAGAAAATGGCACAGCTGAAGTTTCTACAAGGTTTTACTCAGCTAGATGAGGTAAAAACCAATGTTGAATAACACATGATCTCACTCATTTATGGAAAATAAAGAACACGTCCTGGCTGGTTTGACTCAGTGGATGGATCATCGGCTTTCAGACTGAAGGGTCTAAATCTGAATTATCTAAATCTGAGCCATGTCATCTATAATTTTGGTAGCAAAGGGTTCGATTCCAGTTGGGGATGCATGCCCAGGTGGCCTGATCCCCAATGGGGGGCCTGCAGGAGGCAGCCAATCAATTGATGGTTCTTTCTCTCTCCCTTTCCTTTCTCTCTCAAATCAATAAAAGTATTTTAAAAAAAGAGAAAAGAAAATAAAGAACACTATAACCTGATGAACAAAAGGATAGATACTGAGGAAGTAAAGCAGCAAACAGAAGGTGAATAACAGCAGGAAGGCTGGGGAGTGGGGGGAAAGAGATCAACCAAAGGACTTGTATGCGTGCATATAAGCACAACCAATGGACACGAGACACTGAGGCGGGAGGGAGAGGGCATGCAACAGGGGGTAGGGGAGGCTGAGGGAAGGTCAATGGCGAAGAAAGGAGATATATGTACTACTATGTATAATTCTTTAAAAAATAAAAAGTAGTAAAAGCAAAAAACAAAAAACCCAAAAAACCAATGTCAATCTAAATCAAAGAGTTAACCAATCAGTGAGAAAACAGCTGCTTAAAAAAAAAAAAAAAAAAAAAATAAAAGGTGTAAGGAAAGAACTACTATAAGGATAGATGTATGCTGGAAAACATACATTGTCATGTAATTTTAACAGCCGAAAATGACTAATTATCCTTATTACCTAGTCATTTAAAAACTTGGAAATATTTTCTAATCTATTTAAAAATCTACCAAATGAGGAATTTTAGTGGTTCTTAAGCCTGTTGGTTAAAAAAATTAAAAAAAAACCCTTTTTTTAGTTTGTAAGAACAGGTGATTTAAGGTCATGGAAAATGAATGGAAAAGTAGTAGCTGAATTTCAACAACAAAAATTTAGCGTGGTTGGTGGGTATATTACTAAACAGTCAGTTGACAATATGTTTCTTCCATCTGAATTGACAAATCTTTGTGAAGTATCTTTTTCACCTCTACAACCATCATAATTAAGCCTCAAATTCAAGTTTTAGAGACAGAGCATCCAATTGCTGTATCACAATTATTTAAGCCAAGAGTTGAAAACTAATGAAGCATTTTTAATTATATGGCTCTCATTACAAAATTATTAGTAATTTTGGTAGCAAAGGTATATCTAAAGCCCAAAAGTTATTTTTAAAGAGCACTATTTAATATATTTTTAATTATACAAAATATTGGTAAAATAGTACATCTATATAATTTTTAGTTTTTAATGGGTAGAAATGTGTGATCATAAAAGTTTGGAGATGAATGCTTTAATCACAAAGAACATGATTTTAATCTGAGGTCACAAGATTAGTGTTTCTATCTCATTTTTTTGTTCTTATTGGAAAAACAGAAATCCTTATTAAACTAGCAGTCTGTAATAACAGTAAAGAATATTACAAGAAAAAGAAGAAGAAGAGTATTACATTAAAAAAAGGCTTTCTAGCCGAATCAGGATTGGCTCAGTGGTAGAGCGTTGGTCTGCGGACTCTCTCTCTCTCCCTTCCTCTCTGTAAAAAAATCAATAAAATATATTTAAAAAAGAAAAAAAAGAAGAAAAAAAAAAGGCTTTCTAGCCTGAAACCGGTTTGGCTCAGTGGATAGAGTGTCAACCTGCTGACTGAAAGGTCCCAGGTTCTATTCCGGTCAAGGACATGTGCCTTGGTTGCGGGCACATCCCCAGTAGGGGGTGTGCAAGAGGCAGCTGGTCAATGACTCTCTCTCATCGATGTTTCTAGCTTTCTATCCCTCTCTGTAAAAAATCAATAAAATATAATTTTTAAAAAGGCTTTCTATTTAAAGGAAGTGGAGAAACTAAGTCATTTCTCCAATGACTTTAGTAAAAAGTCCTACTGTAAACTTTCCATTCTTCTAGCCCTTTCCTTTGATCCCTTCAGACCTGCTCTGTACCTTACCCTCCTTGCTGTGGTAAATATTTTTTTCAACTTCAGAGCAGTTTTCCCAATAAAGTCCTTAGAGCTACAATTACTCAGTTTCCAAAACATTCCTGCCTATCCTCAATATTCAGGTGTTCTGTTAGACTGAGGAGAATGAGAAGCACTGTTCCTCTTTTTACACAAACAATTATAGTACAAAGTAGGATGTTCCAACTGTTCTAAAGAGGTTTCAGCAGGCGTGCAATTGAGCCCTGAGAAGTAACTTAACTGATGCATTAACAAGGCAGCTTCCAGGAAGAGGCCCACCCCCAGGGAACTGGAAGCATCAGAATAGCCAAGACCCCTAAAGACTGCTATAGGAAAAGGCAGAGAATAAGTAGTTCAAGAGATCATCCCTTTGGCTAGCTTAACCCAACTGGAGGATAAATCATTCCTGTAAGTCTTAGCTCCTTTCTTTTTATTCTGAAAAGTCAAAAGAATGAATATCTTCTTGCTGTAGCTCTTACAATCATTTTTCACCATAGCGCTTCAAGCCCTGTATCTTCTACCTACTCTAGCACCACAGCTCCATAGGGTTTCTCTAGCTTCAATCTCTCCCCGGTCCAATTCGAGCATACCAAGACCAGCACAGTACTGCCGGAGTAAGCTTCTGGTCATTACCTCCTTCCTCTAAATTAGTCAGTTTGGCATTCAAATACGCCAAAGTATACTTTTCTATTCTTGCCTTACTACTTTTCTTAGAGTGATTCCCTATATTTCGGCCTCTCTGGCCCATTAATGTCACGTAAGCATAAGGAGTGATTTTTAATTTCCTACCCTATCAACTTTATCGGTCAAATTTTTATGCACCTTGGAAGATGTATAATGTCTCCTGACATTCCAAATTAAATATCTTCCTCCTTTGGACATCCTTAGTACTTTCTTTGTTCCCATTCAAGGCAATTATTTTCTCCTTGTATTATCCTTTGGGTTGCAGTTCCTATCTCCACTTCCCAACTAAAATTTAAGCTCCTCAGGAGAGGGAGTCTTGTCTTCTAGGTACTCATCTCCTTGAGCACCTGGCAGAGTTGAATTCTGTTAAGATGAACAGAAATAAGAACTACTCAAGCTATTACAGCTCCCCTGCCATCTTCATACTGTCTTTAGTGGCAATTAGTGACCATATATTCTACTAATATCTCAATCACTCGGGCTCAGAATCTCACCTTGCTTGACTCCTCTCTTCTTACCTGCATTCAGTCTCCAATTCTTAGTTCCATGAAACCCAGCTTCCTCTCTTTGGTTCACTGACTTCATTTTCTCCCAATGACCCTCCCCCCACCTCCTTACCCTCCGGATTATTCTTCCTAAAATTCTATAGCCTTGCAGTCAACAATTCCCAGTACCTGATCCCAGTTTCCCCTTAATAAGCTTCATTTCCTAACCATTTCTCCCCCTCTCCTGCATGAAACTTTTCCGTCTAGCAAAATGAGTTTTATTGTCTCTCCTAAATAGGCCTTGTAATTTGATTGCCACCCTCTCCTCACCTCATACTCAATGCCTCCTTATCATCAGATCTAAGCTAAAATGCCCTTTGCCCTTTTAGCTGTTCAATTCAAGACGTCTCTAGTAGATGATAATAGTAAGACCTAATACTTGTTGAGTGCTTTCTAGGTACTAGGCATTGTATTAAGCATTTCACACAACAATCTTAGGAGGGGAGTACAATTATCATCTCACTTTTTGACAAAATTAAGGTCTATTGCTGGTTTTTTCTAATATGTTTTATTGATTTTAGAGAGGAAGGGAGAGAGACAGAAATATCAATGCTGAGAATCATTGATCAGATGCCTCCTGCATGCCCCTACTGGGGATTGATCCTGCAACCTGGGCATGTGCCCTGACTGAAAATCAAACCGTAGTAATCTCCTGGGTAATAGGTCCATGCTCAACCATAGCATGCTGGCCGGGCAATTCCTGTTAAATAACATACCCAAGGTCACACAGCAATTGGAAAGGGAGAACCAGGATTTGAAATTAGGTCTGTGGGATTCCTCAGCTCAAACTCTAACCATCAGACCTAGCCAGTCTGGCTCAGTGGATAGAGCATTGGCCTGCTGACTGAAGGGTCCCAGGTTTGATTCCGGTCAAGGGCACATGCCCTGGTTGCAGGCTTGATCCCCAGAAGGAAGCATGCAGGAGGCAGCTGATCAATGACTCTCTCTCATCATTGATACTATTTCTCTCTCCTCTGAAATCAATATAAATGTATATAAAAACAAAACAAATAACCCTAATCATCATACCAAACTCACTCTGTCCCAACATGTGGGGTCAGGAAGGGCTTCTGTGCACATACAGATTCTGAAGGTGCCTATGAAGGATGACCACTCAGGAGCGGGCTTTATCTGACACCCAGTTCTCACTAGAGAGCTGTGCAACTAAGGAGACACAGAGTGTGTAAATAGGAATTATCTAAAATCAAGTGGGTAAGGCCTTCAACAGGGTAACTGAGCAGAACTAGTCTAGCAACCAGCAATCTTTTAATAAGAATTTGATACTGTCTTAGCCATAATAAGAGTAAAGGGTGGGTTCCTGATTTGCACTCACATCTATGCCAGTTTCAGAGTAGGACGGCCTGTGTCAGCGGACTCAAGAGGAAGCTACGTGGGAGAAGTGATGCCCACAGGGACAGCCGTGAGGGCAGACGTGAGATGTTTCTCTCTCATCAACATTTCTGACTCTCTGACTCTCTCAATTCCTCTCTGTGTAAAATCAATAAAAATATATAAAAACAAAAAACAAAAGCAAAAAACTACCTGGTGCTGTGCATGCATATAATCCTAACCAGTAGTCATGGATAACAGGGGTGGGCTTACGTGGGGAGGGGTTTGGGATGGGAATGGGGGGATGAGGACAATTATGTGATACCATAATCAATAAAGCAATTAAAAAAAACAAACAGAAAACTACCTGGTGCTGTTTCTATTTCTGTAATTTTTCACCTTCCCTCTTCAACTGGACTAATGTTAAGGATAGGCTTCTTCGTATCTATTAGACCACTTAGTAAGATTCCTTGCAAGCATTAGTTTTTAAAAATACACTTCAGTGAATTTACATTACTTTTTGCCCATTCATACACAATTAAATATTATCCTCAAATTGGCTACTTGGAAGAGTTTCATGAGTTACTCTACCACTTACCAGCTGATGATTTTAAGCAAATTAACCTACGTGTGTTTCTTCACTTGGATGGTGGAGATAATGTGCTTCAGAGTTGTGAGGATTAAATGAGTTAACATACGTAAAACACTTAAAAGAGTGTCTGGCATTTAGCAGACACTAGAGAAGCATTTTAACTTTTCCCAATAAACTTAAGAGATGTAACTTATACTTTCTAATTTTCAGCCTACTGAACAGATTAAGCCATGGGGGAAATCCTATAGTGAAAGCAGCACAGGTTGAAACACCTGAATTCTAGTCTCTCACAGTAGGTTACCCACTCCCGAGTTACTGAGCCTCTCTGGCCCTCAGAATCCTCATCTGCCAAATGGGGGGAAGGTGGGAACCCGGAGAATACTTCCTCTGGGATCCATCAGAGCTGAAGAACATTCTGATATTCTATCTGATTTAGATAAAATTACCCCCAGCAACTAGTCCTCATCGAGGATAAATACAAACATTTTCTTACAAAAAGGGCTTGGAGTTACATGTTCACTTTATTCCACAGGTTACTTTTTAAACAGGCTATTTTTTTTTCCCCAGGGTGTATTGTAGTCGTCAGAGTTTAAACAAACTGCCTCTCTTTCTTCTTCTTCTTCTTCTTTTTTTTTTTAAACAGAGCTATAAATCGTTTAAAATATAAAAAAGGCACCTTTATAAAAGACAGCTAGCTACACACAGAACAGTGATCCTACCTCTGAATGAAAAGGTAAGATTTAGCACTGTATTTAGATGCAATATAAAGTTAGAAAAAAATCTAAATGCTTAAGTCAAGTAGAGAATAAGCAAAAGCCTGTGCTATTAAGTAGCTAGTTTGTATTTTAAGATTGGTGAAAACCACCTGAAATCATGAACAAGAATACTGCACAACAATTCAAAGTCAATACAACTTGGGAAAACCTCCTGGGGCACCCGTCCTTACGGTTCCCTATGCAATAAAGCTATTTCATTTGGCCAACACACACCGTCACAGAGCTCTGCTGATCGGGTTACAATTAATTCTCCACAACTCAATTCAACAAGTATTTATTGACCACCCCACATCTGCCTAGCACTGGCCTGTACAAGAAATGCTTTCTTTGGTCTCAGGCCACGGAACAGCCACCCTCTATAATGAAAGTGTGGTATTGTGTACTGGAGGCATTGCAGGGAGGGGAGGGGAGAAGGGAGAGAGCAATCAGGGGGAATGGTAGCTGAATTTCTTCAACTATTGTACATGGACTAAATGAAATTTCAAAGTTGGAAGAATCTTTTAGGAAAACCTAGTTAATTTTATTCATGACAAAAACTGAGAGCTGCCGAAATGTCTCATCCAAGGTCACTCAGGTAATGAGTCTTCTAACGACACGGTGAGATTTCCGCAAATTCTCTTCACTCTCACTCACGCCAAGTCAAGCAGAGTAGCTTCCCCAGAACCGAAAAATACACCTAATCTTCCTGACAGCTTATTCCTAAAGCCATCAAAATATTCCATCAAGCTGTAAGAGCGCGGGAGGCAGATCATCTCTCCTACAGTCGGGTCACTTCTTTACCCACTGACTACGCTTCACCTGCTCTTCCATCACCGTCCCGGGGAGGGTGGAGAGAGGAGAAGCGGTGATCTGGGAACATGTATGCTGCACTTCCAAAACGTGCCCATTTCTCGGCCTTCCGCATTTTTCATCTTAAGGTCCTCAAGGACCCCGAAGTGTGGGTGGGAACCTCACTGGACTCAAAGCAAATGATGAACGGAGAGCAGAAAAGTCAGACTGGAGTAGTGGGTTCACTCGCGATCCTGATCTCCGAAACGTCAAATGACCACGTCAAATGACACGGTGGGCGAGGCGCCCCGAAAAGGGTCCGCAGTCGGCTTCTCCCCAGTCCCCGAGCACCCCGGATCCTAGAGGATCGCCCCCTCCCCGCCTGGGCCCGAGGGGAGGGCGGGCTCCCGGGGGGCGGCACGTCCTAAGGCCGGGCTGGGGAGGGGACGGGAAGGCTGTACCTCCCGGCAGGGCCGCCTGGAGGGGACCCCGGGCCGCAGCTGCGGAGCCCACCCTCAAGCACACCCCCCTGCGGCCCCGCCCGCCCTCCGCGGAGGCCGGCCCAAGTCTCACCGTGAGCCCCGGGAGCGGCCTTGGGGCGCTGGGAGAGAAAGGGGAGCCGACTCGAGGGCTCAGACCGGCCGAAGGGCGCTGCACAAGGACCTAGGCCCTCCCGACGCTTCGACACAGACACAATGAGTCACAAAGGCCGGATGTGTGTCAGCACCTCGTCTTCCGGGATTGCGCCGAGCTTCCGGGTCCTCTCTAGGCGCGCGGGAGGACTTTGCTACTCGGTTCCCTGGGTAGCTGGGCTCCAGGCCTGTTCTCCCTCCCGATGGGTGATCCAGCCTCCAGCTTGGAGTTTCCTGCCATCAGCTTGTGCGCCCGGAGTAGGGGGTTCAAGCTTTATGGAATATAAACTGTTCAGCTCAGATATCAGTTCATATGAAAATTCGGTTTCTCCTTTCTTCCATCTCGAGTGGTCCTTGCAATAATTACAGTTATTACCGAGCAATAATCATCAGTAATTGTAGGTCTGTGGCAGAGGAACTAAAACAAGGATGTTGACAGAAGGAGATCAAAGTGATGAAGCCAGGGGTGGCTGGTTTCACAAACCTGCCATGGTGGCTTCTCGTGGCCCCCGGAGATGCCTGCCAGTTGAGTAGGTGGTATTTTCAAATACTTGGCCGGTGGACAAAGGCCTTTCCACAACCAAGTTAGTTGTAAGGCTCTGTGTTGGGTTTATGCGGCCTATGCTATGAGAGCAGTTTAAAAGGAGTTTTCATAGTAATAGCAAACGCTTGTGCCTTCAAGGTACTTCTACAACCTGTAATTATGGCCGTCACCTTTACCTGGCAGAAGTTGCTCCACTTTATGTGCAAAGGCGACCACGGCTTTAATGGTTGTGACTTTGCTCTCTGCCCGTTCCAAGATGAGTTCATGGAGAGACTAAACTCAGAAGCTTGGTGGCATGGCTGAAATTGCTTGGGGGAGATTATTTTCTAAAAAAAAAAAAAATACTTGAAAACTAAAAGGCAATTACAGTATCATTAAATGAAAATTGCAAAATGGAGAAAGACAGTAATCTGTAATCCCTCCAACCTAACCCGAGTATGATGGCTTTCATTTTATCCCTTTCCTATCTATCTTCATAGATAGGCTATATATTTTGAATTTATTATTTTAGACATAGTTCAAAACTATAGTTGTATTGGATAGGTGGCTGGTAAGCTTGAAGTAGCTACCACATTCATGCTCTATGACCACTTTTTGGACAAAAGCTGATTGGATTAGGTTTGGGCACCTGACGGAAGCACAATTACACATGGAATGCTAACCTTTGGAACTACAGAGGTGGTCTGGCTTGAGAGCTCTGACTAATGGAACATTAGATCCCCTTTCTTTGGGCTATCTAAATGTGAGACACAGAGAAAACTGAGGGCAAGCAGAAATCAGTAAGCAGAAGCCATTAGTTGACAGAAGCCACTAGTTGACAGAAGCCACGAAGCCATGGAAGTCATTAGTAAGCAGAGCCTTGAGAGAAAACAAACTGATCTATAGTCACCAAGACAGGTGCAGCACATGGCACAACGGAGCTCACAGAAGGAGGCCCGTGGTCGTTCTTACGGCTGCAGCATAATGAAGGTGACAGTGTGAATAACCTTCAGGCCCCAAGCAATGTTTATTCCCTGCATTGTTTGACTCTGCTGCAGATGCCATATGCCCTGTCTCCTCATCTTCCCTGTGTGTCCTTAGAATAGGGGTGTCGAACTCAATCAGAGAAGGGGCCAAAATCTAAAATCCAGCCTAAATCGCGGGCCGGATGGTTTACTGAACAGTCATAAACTGTCATTGTGATGGAAACGCAGCGGAGTGCAGTGATGACAGCGCGGTGCGGGCCACATTGCAAGGCCTGGCGGGACGGATTTGGCCCGAGGGCCTTGTGTTTGACACATGTGCCTTAGAATAAACCAGCAAAGAACCTAATTTTGTTCCTTGCCACCTGGAAAAGCCTAGTGTGATTGATGTGAAAATCATATGTACTGCTTAAAAACGCTTACTAACGTATCGTTAACCATCTTAAATTTTGCTACACAGAATGGGTAACTATAATTTTAGTAGCTGTATAGTATTTTATTGAGCAGCTATAACATTAAGTATTGAATAATTCTTTTTTTTTAAAGTATTGAATAATTCTTCTATTTCTAGACATAGTAGAATACTTCTAAAGTTTGGCTATTTTATGAAATATTTAAATGAATGTTTTTGTACAAATATATTTGGGATATTAGGACAGATTCTGGCAATTGTTGTTACTGAGTTAATAGGTATGAACTTTAAAAAAAATACATATTATCATATTTCTTCCCCAAAGAGGTTTAATTCTTATTTTCATCTTGCAGCAAAGTTACTTACACCAGAAGGGTGGCAAATATCCTTCATTGGCCTTGCTTAATTTGTTGAATTACATCAACATTATGGCAGAACTTACTTACTTATTAATTAATTAATTAATTTATTTATTTGGCAGAACTTATTTTTAGCCATTTATCACCTATTATGTATCAGGGATTATGCTTGACTTTGAAGGATACAAAAGTGACATTGTGCTGGTCTACAAGAAATTTACAGTGACCAGTGTGTGGGTCACCAAACGCAAAGTGAAATGATGTATAATTTCAGAGAAGAAGGGAGATGGAGAGATAGAAACATCAATGATGAGAGAGAATCATTGATTGGCTGCCTCCTGCAGGCCCCACAATGGACAATGAGCCCACAATCTGGGCATGTGCCCTGACTGGGAATCGAACCTCCTGGTTCAAAGGTCAGTGCTCAACCACTGAGCCACAACAGTTGAACTGAAGGCTTTTTAAATAACCTCTTTAAGCCTTTTCTTCATCTATAAAATTATAATTAATAATTGATAATTATTGATAATGGTGATAATTATATTGACCTCATAAAGTCTTTGTGAGAATTAAACGACATAATGTGTATAAAGTGCATAGCAAAGTGCATGTTATACACACAGTAAACACTCAATGCATGTTACCTTTCATTATTGTTATTGTTATTCTCATAATCTTAATTAGAAGAGAAAATAATAGAGCTTCCATCTATATGGGGAAAAAGAAATACATAAAGAATTAGGACAGCTTCTATGGTGCTATGAGGATAGCATAATCATTAAAGACGTCTCTGATTCTTTCCTAAGAATAGATTCCAAGAGATGAGATTGCAGTTCCCACAAATAGTCAGAGGGGCTAACTAAAAGAGTGCTGGTCACCCCAATGTCCTAAACCTGTGGCAAACAAGCTCAGCTAATGAGATCTGGTGGCATCTACCCAAGAGTTCTGAAAGAACTCCAAGGTAAAAGTGTTGAAAGTACCACTAAACATAATGATTTACTATGACAAATAGACACTGTGCTTACAGACTGGCAGACTGCCCTGAACAAATACAAGTTTCTGAAGGGCACTCTAGAGACTGGGCTGCCAAGCTCAACTTCCATGCTGTGAAAGCCGGTGGAGTTAGTAATGAAGGAACATACCCTGAATGTGTCACCAGCACAGGCACCAGGGACCTTGGGTACTTCTTCATGTGTCTAGTGACTTTCATTGTGAGTTCCTCAGGGTTCTCTGTGGGAGCCAGTTGAGCCCTGGGTTTACAGTAAGAATCTGTGTTTGATTCTTGTACTGAGGAACATTATTAAGTCAGGGTCACTATAAACTAAATTCTAAAAGCTAGAGATCTTCTGGGTCACTCAGAGAGCACGATTTCAGACCCCCGTTTGTGAGGATAGCTTTGGTTAGGAATTTTCCAAGTCCTTGGTGTGAATTTAATTTTTATTCACCCTTCAGAGTGTTGTGCTTTGAGGTCCCAAGTTTTAGGCAGAGGTCTCAGATCCCTTACTTTGTCTCTGCCCCCAAAATGTTGTCTATTAAAAAGCAGGCACTTTAGAGAAAATTCTCTCTCTGTGCTTAATCTTCTGAATCAGTGTTTTATTGTCATTTCTGGGGTCCAAAGAGTTCTCTTTCTTTCCTATTAGCTCTTTCATGCATTAAAAAAGGGATGCCTTTTGCATGGAATTCATAATTTTTCAGAATGCCGTATGGAGGTTTCTGTGATCATCTTGTCTGCCATATGGCCAGAAGTTGAAATCCAGCAGATATATATTTAAGATAGGTAAGTTTGAAAAATTATAGATGGTATTATTGGGGGGAAAAAACAGGTTTAATCATTAAATCTTGAAACACTAGAATGAAGCTCTCGCAGAGTATAAAGGACAAAGACCTTTAGATACTGCTTTATAGACAAGATGTGGATTTAAAAAAAATGTATTTTATTGTTTTTTTACACAGAGGTAGGGAGAAGGATAGAGAGCTAGAAACATCAATGAGAGAGACACATAAATCAGCTGCCTCCCGCACGCCCCCCACTGGGGATGTGCATGCAACCAAGGTACATGCCCTTGACCGGAATCGAACTTGGGACCCCTGAGTCTGCAGGCCGACTCTTTATCCATTGAACCAAACCAGTTAGGGCAAAATGTGGATTTTATTCCAGTGGGATAAGCTGGAGAAGTATGGCCTTCAATGATTCCTTGTGAAATGAGTGGAAGGCAGGTAAGGGCAGAGTTGGATAGACTTCTTTAGTTGGTTGAATTACCAGACCCAAGTTATATTAATAAATTCACATAAACTTTGAATGGAGTCTCCAGAGTCAGCTACTACTGGGTTCTATCCTGTACAACAGAATTCTCTTATATGTGTTTTATATGTCCTGTTTCCTGTTTTATCAATGTTATATATGAGAGTGTTGGTGACATAAAATTAAATTTGTGTAAGACCCTAAAGATAACAGTATTCACTAGTATGTTGTAGGTAGAAAAGCAATTCTTGTTCCTCCTTCTCCCTTCCCCCACAAAAATATAATAAACAGGGAGTGGATGAGTGACAAAGTAATAGGGGCCAATGTTCTGCATGTAGGTGGAAAAGCCTACAAACTATCCCTGTGGCTGCCATCCAAGATGGAAAATCAGTCTGGAAAAAATAAGTAAGGTAGGACTGAAAGTGGGAGGTGTGGCTTTTTGACAGCAACAGGAGCGAACAGGCCTGGGGTTCTTCATAGAGACTGAGCTCCCATCACAAGAGTGTGATTCAATAAAAGCTAAACAAATCTCAAAGTCCATGAACAGCAGTACAGAGTCCAAACATAAAG